TTTTTGGAGTAATTCCTTATGTTGATCCAATAAGTTTTAATAGCCGAACAAGTGACAATACATTACGACAATATAAACTAAATGAAAAGAGTGATGTATACAGTGTTGGCGTACTCATGTGGGAAATATCAAGTGGTCGTCAACCTTTTCATGTTGAAGGTGAAGTATATGACATTGGTTTAGCTATAGCAATTTCACAAGGACTTAGAGAAGGGATCATTTCCGGCGCACCTGAAGATTATGTGATTATTTATACCGGTAAATATATTTTTTATAATTTTAATTGAAGTTATAACATGAATATTATTTTAAGTTATCTTCAAATTTTGTGTTTTAGAATGCTGGGATAATGAGCCAGATAAACGTCCAGATATGAATCAAGTAGTTGATAAATTAAATGCAATTGTTAAGATGACAAGCATAACAGGAAATCAAACGAATAATTATGAATCAAATCTTCAACATCGTCGTTTGGATAACATTGATGCTTCTTCTAGTATAAATAATTCATTTGGAGAATCATCTCAAATTGTTCGATTTGATCAGATAAAGGACCAAATGGATAGTTTTTTAAAAAATGTTGATGCTGTTTCTTGTAATAATAATAAATCATTACATAGAGAATTATCCCAAAAATTTAATCAGATGAATGTAGAAGAATTAGAATCAAAAGTTGAAGTATCAGATATTATATATGATGATATTATTGAAAGATTAACGATTACGAATTTTAATAAGAATGACATATTAAACGCGTTAGGAGGATTGCAAAGATATCGGAAATTAAAAGTACTCGACTGTAATAATACTCAGATAACCAGCTTACCAACATTACCCAACTCCTTAACTACACTCTGGTGTAATGGCACTAAAATAAATAGCTTACCAACTTTACCCAACTCCTTAACAAAACTTTATTGCTTTGGTACTTCAATAACTATCCTACCAACTTTACCCAGTTCATTAACTAAACTTAGTTGTTATAGTACTAAAATAAATAGCTTACCAACATTACCCAACTACTTAACGATACTTAATTGTTGTTATACTTCAATAACTATCCTACCAACATTACCCAACTCCTTAACGAAACTTAATTGTTCTAATACTACAATAACAACCTTACCGACTTTACCCAACTCCTTAACAGAACTCTTTTGCCATAGCACTAAAATAAATAGCTTACCAAATTTACCCGATTCTTTAACACATATCCATCCTAAATCTTTAAAATACAAATACTATTTTGCAAAATTGATAATATTGCCTAAAACCTTAACTTTCTAAATAACTTTTCTTAATGTTCAAGTTTTTTTTTTGAAGAATAAAGATATGACAAGCTTTACATAATTTAAAGCTTTGATTATTTTACTGTGGTCATTAAACCTTGCAATACATAAACAATATAACTTTCAAAACATTTAATATGTATTATTTCAAATATAAAATTGCAGATTGACGAATATAATAGGATTTGACCTTTTTTTCCTTTTTCATAACAATTTCTAATCTTATAAATTTAATTATCTCATGGTTTCCTAATTAACGCCGTTGATTTTTTAATATATTTTTCACGGTGAAATGGGTTGAGTTTATTTTAGCTTATAATTAGAAATTCCCCGAGATAAAATAGTTATTTCACGGATCATCCTCGATCTCATTATCATCACGGCTACGCCGTGATAAGTAATGATATCTACGGATTCCCATGAATAACTAGTACTAGTAATATTAACTTGAAAGATTTGTTCCAAATTCATGTTTAAAACAACAAAAATTTTGTTTAAACTTAAATAAAATATGAAGCTCAAACTTGCAGGATTGTTAATGCATTGATTTTGTTCCTATAAGTTAAGATCAATTAAGAAATGAACCCCGCGTTTGGAAAACTGCAAGTCATTACCATGATTAGTTGCTGAACAATTGGTGGTTGTTTATCCGGAAATAATCCTATAGCAATGATATCAATCAATTTAACCGCCTCTTGCGGATTATACACAGGAATAATGTTGACGTTAATACATCCAAAGCAATAGTCTTATATGAAGATTAAAAGATCTGGTTATTGTAATTTAATATTTAAAATCAATTTTAATACTAATCAAGTAAATACCTGACATAAAGTTCGTATGTTCGAAGAATTAAGATACATCAGCAAGACAACCTTTGTTCTTTGAATCCTATTTGTATTTAAAATCTTGATTTCAAATAAATTTATTTTTTAAAAAAAATTTTGAATGATCATATTTCTCTCTCTCATTCTTCAAATAGTCCCAATGCTCATGGGAAAAGCGCAAAAAAGTAATATTTGGTTTTTGGAAAGTAATATCCTTTTATATTAAATGTATTGGTAATATCTTGTTCCTTGATTACCCAGCTGTAGCTTTAATATCTGAAAATATCGAAAATATGAGAGTTTTGATCAAACGAATCCATAATTAATAATTCATAAATTTGATATAGCGCACATCTGACACGTCACTCGTTACTTTTTTTATTTCATCAAAGACTTTTTGCCAGTCGTCTGTAAGAATTTTTATAAAAAAGAACGGCGGGCTGCAAGTTGCTTTGCATTTTAGGTTGAATGAAAAAATATCGAGTCGATAAAGATTTGATTTATCAAAATTAGCTAGCTAATAAAAATAATGGCAATAGACTTTGAAAAAATAAACTTTATAATGTCAATCAGATATAAAAATATTAACATTTTTTATATTTTATGTTATATGTATATATTTTTTGTTTGTTATTAATTTCCGAAAACAAACATAGTTACTTTGTTCTTTTATATATGAAAGAGTATATAAATATTCACAATAGATATATATATCTTATAAACCATGAGATATTTTGATTTAATAAGAATATTAAATTTATTTAGTTAAAATTTATTATAATGATTTGTTAACCTTTAATACTAAGAACGCTTCAAACGTTTTATACTGCAGCAGGAAAGTTTGTCGAAAGTTCCGCCGTTTTTAATTTAGTGTCAGTTTCTTCATTATTAGTCTTTTCATCAAATTATAAAATTATTTAATTAAGAGTTTTTCAGGTGGTTATCCATTTCTTCGAGCCTTAAATAAATCTATAGCGCTTTCAGTGTTCGTAGTGAAAGGAAGAAAATATGAACTGCAATAATCATCGTCAGAGCTATCAGTTTCTTTAAATACAATATTTTTTGACCTATAATATGCATTACTTTGTTCGTTAATTTGCTGAGCGTTTATAAACAGAAAGTGATTTCGCATCAGCTTCTAGAGCAAATACAAGATCGCGTTGTGTAACAAAAATAAAGAATTGAGATAGATTAACTATATTTCTTTATCTTGAATTTATCGCATTTTTTGATTACACAACAGAACAATGGATTTTAGAATGGTCCACGACCTGCAGAAAGTAAACAAGTTGTTGTTCAAGCATTATTTTGACTCAACTATGTCAACAAACAATTTAAGTCCCAAAATTCTTTGCGCTCCATTTTCACACGATTCTATCACTTTGTTTAATCGATTTGTCGAAATGATACTAAATTTTGATTTATAGTTTGGCGTCGAAACCTAATGATACTGCTGAAATCTTAGACGCAACATAATTATTATATAGTTGCATGATATAATAATATATCACATGTTATGAAGCACCGGTCAGGACCGATACGTCTTACAAAATATTTGATTAGACAAGAATTTCAAAGTTATAAAACAATCAGACCGGTTTTTTCAATGTTGCATTTTTAATCCATAAATTTTGAACCTTAAAAGTTCAGATGCATTTAAATAAGTATTCTCCAAATTATTTGGCCATCGTAAGGAAACAAACAATTTGAGAATTTGTCCTTTGATTTATTGTTAAAAATTTTCGTATCATCTGATGGTCATGTTCCGTTAAAAACTCCATATTGTATCTGCAATTGGAATTTCCATTTAAATATATCCGAAAAAGTATCTGTATTCCAACTTCGATAAAATCGTTTTTCTATTACTTGTTCCTTCTCCATCACTTTCAGGATTGCTAAATATGGTGTTGACAACAATTTGTGTGATGTATTTATGTGATACTGATGCTTGAAATACAGTGGCTCACAAAAGTAATGGAATGGACAATCAAATTTTTAATATCTTTGCTTTGGATGGTTATAAAAAATTAAAATAGATTCGTAAAATCCGGCACTTAGGTAATTATTTTCGTTTGATTTTATTGCTGATTGATTTTTGTTAATTAGATATTAATCACTTTATCCCTATTTCATGTTCTATTTCAAAGGCTTAGTGACTTTTAGGAAGTAATTATTGTTTTTTATTTTTATATATATAAAATGTTGCCACGATAAATATGATCATTTCTAATAATTTTATTTTATTTTCTATGCCTTATATATCACAGGAAAAACGCTCTCATATATATACCCTTTATAAATAGGGTTATTCGACTAGAACAATTGTTAAATGGAAAATGTTAGCCCATCATCATCTATTAATTAGCTATCAAATTTTTGTAGGATATTCGCCAAAACTTTAAGAATTAAAATTAAAACAATATTATGTTACTAGCATTTGTAGTTAATTAATTATAAAGCTTTTAAAGCTAACAAAAAACCAGCCCGGCTTTGCACGGACTTAATAATATGACAATTCGAACTAGTTCCGTTATAATTAATTTATGCTATTAAGGCGATGCGAAATTTAATATTCTATAATATATTTTTTATATTTACTAAAACGAGTTATATACATATAATAATATTTCAATAATGTAACTCGACAAAATAAAACAAATACATTTACCATTATAACCACGTTACGGACACATTCGTAATTTGATCCCAATAGCAAGTCCCCAAAATTAAAATACAATCAGCGGCCCAATTCAAATTAAATTATAACATTCACCATAATTATAAAAAATCCGGTCCGGTACCCCTCTACTTTATTTATTTTATTTTATTTTATATAATTTGACAATCTTTGAACCTAAAAAATTACTAAATATGTTCACTAATTCTATATTAAATTTTCTACTGGTTCTATTATAGAGCCAGAACGATTCGATTTTCGTACTGACCAAACGATTCGTACCGTAAGATTTTCCATCCCTGAAATTATGTATTGGTAAATGATGCTTATGCTAACAGCATAATGTTTATATACATGGCATGAATCCACTTGTTGCTGAAAGTGCAATGAAGCTTTGAAGACTAAGACTAACTGAACTGATTAAAAAAAAATTTCAAGTTTTGAACGATTCAAAGAAGAGTGAAGAATGGTGTAACAACCTACCTGGACTGGTTGCTACGATTCCCGGACAAAAGTAATCAACAAAAGAATTTAACTATAAAAATTATGCCAAAATAAGAGATAACCAACCTGGAAAATATCACAACGTTCTAAATAGTTTTACTGCGCACCAAGTTATTAATATAGTAATCTATTTGACCTATTAAAAGTTATTCTACTAATTGACGCTATTGTTTTTTTCCTTACCAGAATAATTTTGTTGAAGTTTATGATTTCGCTTGTACTGTTTGTATCGATTACGGTAAAGTTTTGTCGAAGTATTTGATTTGGTACATTAATATAAGTCGTACACAGGAATACAATGAGTTTGAAATCTCGCGAAGTGGTTATTTTTTTTTGCTTGTAAAAACCTTTATAGTTTTTAATTTCTAATTTTTCATTTGGATTTTTACATTTAGCCGGAATTTTAAATTTAAATGACCTCCTTTTTTAGTATTTAGGATAAAAATATTAATAAAAACATTTTTGACTTTATATTTTTTTTTTTTTGTTTTTGTTTTTTAAAAAAAAAAATCGAATAATTATATTTAAGAGGGTTTAACCAAAATTTCGGCATCGTATTTCCTTTAAGCCGTTTAAAGGAAAAAGTATATATTCAAAATTTCTTAATTTCTAACTTTTCTTTTTAGTTATTGTCACATTTTGTATTTTTCAAAACTTATGGAAGGAACGTCGAGGGTATTTATTTATTTATTTTTTTTTTTTTTTTTGAAACCCAGAATTAATTACTGCGGCAATAAATAGTCGTACATATGCACGCCGGAATTCCGGAGTATTTTGATTCTTTAGGAATTTTTAAGAAATAAGTTTTTTCCATAGAGAATCAATAATTATCTCAGTTTCAACTTTTTTTTTCCAATTCATTTTATTGCTACACTGTAGCTGCCGAACAAATTTTTTTAAGAAAAAACTTACTTTCATTATCGGCCGACTGAATTCGATGCTGCGTTTTTCCTACCTATCTGTTTGACTCATTATATTCTATTTTTAATTTTTCTATTTTTATCTCCATTTGTAATATAATGTAATGTTACATCATTTCTTTAGTTTACCTGATTTACAACGTTGAACTCTAGAATAATTCTTTCGGAATTCTGGCAAATTCGAACATGTTTAGTGCGGAAATAAGTTAAATATCTTATTAATTAAATTTTAAGCAAAAAGATTATTTTTCTACGAATTGTATTACAATCCAACCTGTTAAAAAACCAGTCAAATTTTGCAAATTCTGTTCAAATTAGAGATGGGACTTAAAATTTTTTTTCAATATTTTTAAGTTTTTAAGACTTAATTAAGTTATTAAGGAAACTTAAA